ATAGGTCGGCTGCTGCAGTCGCTGGCTGATCTGACGCGTGAAAATTGTGTGTCGTGACGGTACGGATACGGTGATCACTCACACACACATTTCACACGTGTCTTCGAAAATCTTGGTTACCCAATATTTGTAAATGCAGTACTTTCTGTATACTTTCGCTTAATTTCGGTCCACAGTCCCTCCCCAGTCATCCCACGTCTGTCAATAGGATCACAACTGCTTTGTTCCGAAGGGCTGTTAGTTTTTTCGTCATCTCTCGGTAGCCCTGGCTCCATTCTAATTTCTTCACCCCAATACGGCATTTGATGCTTGCAGCTGCATCCCGTTTGTTCCTACTCCTTTTGATAATTAAATTTCCCCCCTAATCTGTTGTCGTGTCACCGTTCACGTTTGATAGGGATGCTCATTCTTTTTCCAAATCGAAAAATCAAGGATTGGCTCGCATCTGACACTCATTCCACTTACTTTATACTTGGCTTTATGCGACTATTTCCTGCGAGAGGATAAATTGGGATCATGGATATTGTATCTATGAAGAGTCTTGGAATTTCATGCAGGATGACTTCCCCAGCGCTACCCGAGGATAGGACACTTTCCGACTGTCCAAATCGCGTAAGGGAACTCTCTTATGGAGTTCCATTCCAAACCTTCGATTATTCAAAACCTATCTCACAATACAGTCGAACGACGTCGGAAGTTGTATTCCCATGCCTGTCGAGAGTGAGCGAAAGAAACGAGTTGCAGCAGGTCCATACTCCGTTAGCCGCAATAGATTTTTCATGCTCGTGGACGTAAGGTGATTACAAGGCAGCTATCTGCTTCGTTTTTTTTACCGTCACCTCTTGTGTAAGGGGTTCAGTGGCATTATTTTTGAAAGACTAATTAGCTTTTCAAGTCGAGTCAAGGAGTCGCTTTATAAACCTCGAAGGGTGGACATTCAGCAGCCGCATAACCACAGTGTATCAACAATGAAAAAATCGAAATACAGCAATTAAAAGAAGTGAAACGCACAGCAACATTATAAAGCCAATGGCATACCATTGTGTTTTTATTGTTGTAGTCTGGTATTTTGCGCAGATTTTCTCCAATATATTCATGGTTTGTAGGAAATCTAGCGAGATCCGGTACAATAGAGCCCCTGTAAGCTTCAGTGAGTGCCTTTTAGGGCTTATGGCTGGAAGGGGTGGATAAGTGAGCAAGGCACTGACTAGGAGCAGATTAAAGATGGGAAATGTCAGATAAAATCTAACTTGAGAATGTTTTACAGGACTTGAGGGGGTGTGCCACAATATGTTGTATCAGATGTTCCCCTGGTATAAGACTAGATGCCGACAGAAACTTGAGGGATTGGGAAATGAATTTGAGGTCTTTGTTAAAAAGACCGGGAAGATAACAGGGACCCTTAAAGCCATTGGGGCCAAACGCAAGCAAAAGCAAACGCCTTGTGATACGACTTAGGCTAGAAAGTGACTTAAAAGCTGAAACAAAACGTGAGCCTCCTGACCTTCATAAAAATGTCATTGACATGATCAGACCAAGTGATGTTGCGGTTGAAAATAACGCCAAGGTATCTGATGGACTGTTGTTGATCCATTTGGTCACTGAATTTAGACAAAGACGGGTTGGCATTTGACAATTCATCCTAATTTTGATCTTGCAAGGATTTAATTGGATCAAATTAATAAATTTCGGCGTATGCAAAGCTGGCGACAGGATCGGTCATGTTTATTTCCTATCCGTCAGGTAGAGCAGCGAGAGCGGTTCCGTTGTTGATAAAGCTCTGATTCAGACACTCTACGTCCACAGCAGCTGGCACGCGGTGTGAACATTGGATGCCAGAAATTCGCATAAGGGCTCGCCAGTTCTCATGACTACCTTT